TTGGCTTCAGCTCTAGGGACTGCTTGAAATGTCACACATAGCTTCCTCTCACATCTGAGAGATCAGAGCTTAAGGCTGGATCAATAAATTTGTATTCCTGGGATCCAGCAGTTTTGGCCAGGGTCAGAAGAGGAAGTAGAGACCCAGGGCTGTGAGCCCAGACTCCCTGTGGGTGTGAAGCTCTCCTCATGATTACATAAGTCACAACTGCTGATCACGGGCACCCCGTCAGTGCCTAGTCCTCTAAATCACCCCTGGGTGGGAGGAAGGGATCTTTGGGGTGGGGTGCTAGTGTGTACAAAGAGACTAGAAACAGCCTGCTCTCCCTTCACTTACTTTTGGGCACAGAGCAGTGCCTGACTCGATGTGGCGGGGGACTCAGGATTGGTTTTCCATCTGCCTGTGTTCAGACACAACCAGAGGTGCAAGAGGACAGATGACCACATCCCTGCCCCTTCCAAGCACCCTGGGGTCGGTTGTTGACTGTGGCATCCCTTGGATTTCTGGGTTGTGGCTTCAGTTTTTATATTTCTAATTCTTCAGTTTCGGCAGACTCAGTATAAGACCCCTAGGCTGTTGCCAGGCAAAGGTTTGGGAAAGGAAGAGCCTTCGTCTCACCTGTTCTGAGAAACTTTCCTGGATGAAGGGGGCTCAGGAAAAGTCTTGATGTCTCTCTCTGTCTTTAAAAAGGCAATCCCTGGGTACCAAAAAATAAATAAATAGATAAAAGCACACACAGGTAAACAGATACACAGTCATGAGCCCATTTGTCTGGACATACTTATTCACATGGATACACACACACACACACACACACACACACACACACACACCACACACACACACACACACACTGCCTCATTAATATTCTGTTGTTCTCGGCCATTTGCTGCTGGGACTGTGTGTTTAGCGTCCGCAGCTGTGTTTGGTAGGTTAGTCCAGCCGAGCTCTTGGCATTGATGAATCCCTGATTCACACGGCTCATCATATAATAAACTCTCAGCTGTGCAGAAGGAAGGGGGTTGGGAGGGAAGGGCCAGGGAAATGAAAGGGGTGGGGGCAGGGAGGATGGGGATTGGGATTGACCCTGCTAGTGAAACCATCAGGTAAGGAGATCTAAGAGCAGGGGGTCACAGGTGCACTGTGCAGGCCAGAGGGGGCTCTAATTAGTCTCGTTTGTCCCGCACTTAATGTCAAGCTCATTAAGAAGGCTACAGAGTTAATCAAGGTACCACAAATTGGATTTTTAGTTCTGCAGCCAGTTTTGTGTACATTATGGAGACTCGGATGCGATTAACTCTCAGAGAGAGAGGACTTCAGGCCAGGTGTTCGTGGTGCCTTGAAATCTCTCTTACATGCTCTTCCTCACCCCACCTTTTCTCTCTGTTTCTCTCCCATCCTTCTTCTGCTTCTCCTCCCCCTCCATTGCCCCTTCTCCCCGTCACCTTCTTCCCCTCTCCCAATCACCTTCTTTTTATTTCCTTAGGCTGTAGATTCTATATTTAAAGTAATTTAACATGTAATCTAATTCAAAATTAAATTCACTAAAATCTAAACGGATATACAACTCAGACTTAACACCCTACCCCCTTCTTTTTAAACTGTCATGGCCTCCAGAGGAAAAAATATGAGTTGGCAGGTCCTTGCTGAGTGGCCCCAGATGACTTTTAATTACTGGCCTGATTGGGATTCTTCATGGTCCTTATTTAATTTATTTATTTATATCTTAATGAGGATGCTGAATCCTTGATTAAACCTCTAATGATTGGAGATTCATGGAAGATTTGAGTTAGATTTGAGACAGCAACATACAGCCACACAGGCAGATACAGAGAGGCAGTGTCACATGGGTACAAACAGAAAGACCCACATTGTCTTTAGACACATAAGTGTGTACACAAACATATACAGCTCGTTAATGCCAAAGACTGAATTGGCCCAAACCTACTTGAAATTTGAAGAAGTCAAGGGTTCTTGTTACTAGTCTGGCCTTAGCAAGGGAAAGAGTTAAGGGGGTAGGGGTGGGGGTGGGTCACCATCTAGGTCAAGGTTTCTTAACCTGGATCCCACAGATAGATTTCAAGGGTCCTTAAACTATGGGGGAAAATTCCATCTTTCTTTTCACTAACTCTAACTGAAATTTAGTATTTCCTTCAATTACTTTTATTTAAAAAAACAACAACAACAACAAAACATGATTCTGAGAATAGGTCCGTCCATATATTTCCCCAGACCATCAAAGGGGGTCCATGGCATACAAAATGGTTAAGAACCCCATGCCTAGGCCTTGGTCAGCTCTCAGATCTAAATTTTAAGGAATCACTTGGTCATCATTTACTTCCCAGGACCTTCCCATCAATTGCTACCTGGCCAGGGTCAGAGAGGGTGATGGGAAGGATCTCTCTGCTCTCCCAGCCTCCCTTACTACCCATGGATATGGCCCTCTTTCCCCTCTCCAAGTCCTCAGAGCTATTTGCATGATATCTCCCACAAACCAAAGACAGTACGTGAATGAGCAAGCTTCAGCATCCGATCCCCACAGAGCTTTAAAAACCCTTTGGAGTCATCAGAGGGATGAGGATTTATGTGGACATGGGAGCCCTAATTTGGGAGGGGAGAGTTTTGGTTAGAGGCCCGAGGTGGCAGGGGTAGGATGCGGGAGGGGGGGACATTTGAGAGGGAAAGAGAGTAAAATATCATTTTAAAGAGGAAGTGAAGGCACAGGCATGTGAGTCTATAACGAGAGGGACAATTTATGCCCAGGCACGAGTGCAGTTTGACATGGGAATAATGAAAAAACGTAGGTCATTGTGGATGACTTAAACCTTCAGCAGCTGAAGAAAACGTATGAAATGCAGAGGACATTACACGGTTGGCAGCCCCGCACATCTGCAGAGGGACAAGTGAAATACAGAGAGCCATTCTTTACCATAAACTGTGGTTGTGGGAGATGCAGCCCAGAGAAATTGTAATTACAGTGACAAGACGAATCAGCGATATTTAAATATTCATGAACAAAGTCTGGGGTGATCAATCTGTCTTTATTGTCTGCTCCTTCACTCCCGTAATAAGTAAGTAGCTGGAATTCTCACCTTTCATCCTGAGAGGATCCCACTGCTGGAACGAAATCCCAAGTTTGTTAGGCCCTAGGCCATGTCTTCTGACCGTCAAGGGTGCTAAAGAGGGGTCGAGTGCTGTTGGACATGAGAAGGGTACTGATGGGATTGGTGGGGGGAGGCTATAATTGGACAGATGTTTTTTAAGCACTTGTTATGTTCAAGGCCCTGTAGGAATTCAAAAATAAAAATGGAATAACCCCTGCCCTCAAGATATTCCATTTTTTAGAGAGATTATACTATATACAAATAATTTGAAGACAGAGAATATTAACTGGGGCAGTCGTGGGCTGCTATGGGAGGCAGAACCTTAGATAAGACTAGAAAGAATCTAAGGGGTTCTAAGACGTAGAGGTGAGCAAGGTGCACCTGTCAGTGATGGGGGACAAATACATAGAGACAAGAATTGAATGTTGAGATAGAGCACTGGCCCTGAAGTCAGGAGTACCTGAGTTCAGATCCGGTCTCAGACCTAACACTTGATACTTACTGGCTATGTGACCCTGGGCAAGTCACTTAACCCCAATTGCCTTAAAAAAAAATTAAAAGAATGGAATGTTGAGTTTGGGGAACAGCTTAGTAGGCCAAAATGTAGACCATGTGAAAAAATGATTTGTATTGAGTCTGGAAAACTAGGTTGCAACAAAATTATGGAGAGCTTTCAATCCCAAGGTAATGTGTTTGAATTATTTCTCATGGACCAAGGAGGTTTCTCATGGGGTTGAGAGCAGTAAAAGGTGGAAGAATCCTTCACCCTGAACTCATAACCTAAGCTAACTTGTTGGCTTGGGAAAATAGATAAATTAGATAATAGCTAGCATTAATATAGTGCTTTATGAATTTTATCTCCTTTGATCCTCACAACAGCTCTGGAAGGAAAGTGCTGTTATTCTCATTTTACCGATGAGGACACCCAGGCTTAGAAGGGTATAGTAACTTGCCCGTCGTCACTCAGCTAGGAAGTCTGAGGCAGAATTTGAGCTCAGGTCTGCTCCACTCCACCTTCTTCATTGAGTCACCTAGCTAAAGGGAGAAAGGGACAAAGCATTAGGAGAGGTAGTATAATAAACCAGAGATGCATTGACATGGAGTCAAAATATCTGGATTAAAATCTCAGCTCCTACTTTATTAATATGGGCAGGTCACTTAATCTCCTAAACCTCAGTTTCCTCATTTGTAAAATGAGGAATAAATAGACTGCCTCCAGGCAAGTGCTTTATAAATTTTAAAGTGCTATAGAAGTGTTATAATATTTTATCATATAGATAACAGGGACATAAAAATATCATCATCATCATTGTATGTTATCCTTGGGCACTAGAGCTGCTCACCTCTAAAGGCCTCTATTCTGGTCACCTTTTGAACCTGTCTCAATTTTCCTTCATCAAACCTTCCAGGTATTCTGGGAAAAAGGTATACTCTACAGTAAAGTATTCATGGGCATGTCCTAGAGAGCAGGCAGGAGCTGTGCCCATGTAAGCAGAGGCGGCACCATGAGTATTTTGGGACAATGGAGATTATAAACTAACCTATCCCTTCTGTTCTTCCTCTTGCCTGTTCCACAGTCCCTACAGTTCTAAAAGGAGGAGGACAAGGAATTGTTATTTTTGTTGTTGTAGGGCAGCCAGGTGGCTCAGTGGATAGGGCACAGGGCCTAAAGTCAGGAAGATCTGAGTTCAAATTTGGCCTCAGACACTTACTAGCTGGGTGACCTTGGGCAAGTCACTTAACCTTGTTTGCCTCAGTTTCTCATCTGTAAAATGAGCTGGAGAAGGAAATGGCAAACCACTCCAATATCTTTGCCAAGGAAACCCCGAATAAGGTAACAAAGAGTCGGGCATGACTGAAATGACTGAATAACAACAACCCTTTGTGCCCCTGCAGGTGACCATCCATATGAATGCGAATTCTGTGGCAGCTGTTTCCGGGATGAGAGCACTCTCAAGAGCCATAAGCGTATCCACACGGGGGAAAAGCCCTATGAGTGCAATGGCTGTGGAAAGAAGTTTAGCCTCAAGCACCAGCTGGAGACCCACTATAGGGTCCATACAGGTACTGAGGGTCATCCAGCTGAGCGGAGAGATAGGGAGGCAGGGGAGAAGGAGACTTGCGAGGCACTGGGGCTCCAAGTTTGGAGGGGTAACAAGTGGTAGGAAATAGATAGTCAGCAGCTTGAGGCCAGACAAAGGGTCTTGTTATTGAAATTATAGACGGAAACAGTGTCTGCCTTCAAGCAGTGTGCATTCTGACAGGGAAGACAAAATTCAAACAGCTATGTACAAACAAGATATACGGTGTAAATTGGAGATAATCTCAGATTGAAGGCACTGGGATTAAGGAAGCCTGGGAAAAGCTTCTTGAAGAAGGTAGGATTTGAGCTGAGTCTTGAAAGAAGCCAAGAGGTAAAGAGGCAAGAAGAGAGGGTTCCAAACTGGGATATAGCCAGTGAAAATGCATGATTTGAGAGCTGGAATGTCCTGTACAAGGAATGTCAAGGAGGCCAGTGTCACTGTATGTCAGAGAATGGGGAGGGAAATGAGGTGCATGGAGACTGGAAAAATAGAAGGAGGCCAGGTTATGAAGGACTTGAAAAGACAAACCCAGGATTTTATATTTGATCCAGGAGGTGATAAGGAGCCACTGGAATTTATTGAATGAAGGTAGAGGTGAGAGTGACATGGTCAGACTTTTGTAGAGGAAGATATGTTGATAGTTGAGTGGAGAATGGAATGGAGTAGAGAGAGAATTGATAATCACAATAGTCCAGATGTGAGGTGATGAAGGTTCTGCTCTAGGGTGGTGGCAGTGTCAGAGGAGAGAAGGGCATACCTACAAGAGATGTTGTGAAAGAAGAGACAATTGATTTGGATATGGGTGTGTGAGACAAAGTGAAGAATCAATGATTGCTTGACACCTTGGATGATTGGAAGGATTGTGATGCCCTCAAAAGTAGTAGAGAATATGGGAAGAGGGGAGGGTTTGGGGAAAAGATAACAAGTTCAATTTGGGCATATTGAGTTTGAGGTATCCAACAGGCAAATGGAGATGCAAGACTGGAAGTCAGGATAGAGGTTAGAGCTGGATAAATTGATCTGAGGATCATCTGCCTAGAAATGATCATTGAATCGGTGGGGGCTGGGAGAAGAGAAGGCGGCCCAGGACCATGCACAATGTAGATGAAGATCCAGTAAAGGAGACAGAGAATGAGCAATTGGATAGGTAGAGGGTGGACCAGGACCATAAAAATCTAGAGAAAAGAGTATCAAGGGGAAGAGAGAAATCAACAGTGTCAGAAGCTACAGAGAAGTCAAGAAGAATGGGGAATGAGAAAAGGCCATTACAATTAGCGATTAAGAGATTATTGGTAACTTTGGAGAGAGCAATTTCAGTTGAATGATGAAGTCAGAAGCCAGACTGCAGAGAGTTAAAAGAGTGAGAAGAAAGGAACTGGAGACCCCTTGAGAAGATGACCTTCTCAAGGAGTTTAGCTATAAAAGAGAGGAGTTGGATGAAACATGAGGGTTTTCTGAGGAGGGGGGAGACATGGTTGTGTTTGTAGGCACCAAGAAAGCATCCAGTAGAGGAGAGATTGGCAATTAGTGAGAATTGGGGAGAATAGAGAAGGAGATCTGCTAGAGAAGACAGAATGGAATGGGATGACTTGTACACATAGAAGGGTTTGCCGTAGCAAGGAGAAGGGCCACCTCTTCATCTTGTTTGTCTTTCATTCTTGAAGAAGACCATGACACCAGGAAGGTGATGCCATGACTTGTAAGTGAATTGGATTTAAGTGAGTGCAAAGTCACCAGCCTCACTCTCTCCTCCAGAGCCATCTGGGTCCGGTGGCAAGATATAGATCAGTACGACTGGAGATGGCTCCCACTTCTTCATGTAAGACAGAGGTGGAGGAGGAGATAGTGGCAGAAAGCATCTGAGTGGTATGTGATGAGCAGGAGGGTAGAAGAGAAGAGATCCCGGCCAGTGGCCTCACTTTGTTTTAGATGAGAGGGTGAAGGAAAGGGATCCATGGCAGATTTAAGGAGGATAAAAAGATCTGGAAAGCCTCTGGAGCCAAGTACCCCAGGTGGCAGATGTGGCCTAGCTCTTCTCCCCACTCCATGAGAGTTTGAGTGACTTTCCTTTGGGGGATTAATTTTATTTTGCTTTGATAGTATACAGTGTTCTTGTGTTCTTCCCAGTCACTCTTGCCTTGAATGACTTCCTCTGACCACTGAGGACAGTGAATGGGATAGTCTAAATGGATTAGGGAGGTGTAAAAGGATTGTTTTACCACAGTGAAGACCCATCTGAGATGATGAAACATGAATTTGTAGTGGACCAATTTAGTTGACTGACTTTCTCCAGCTTCACTTGGCAACCCATGAATAGGAGCAAAGGCAGTAGATGATGGGTATGATCTAAGACCGGACACTTAATAGGGGAAGATAAGTGATGAGATGAAGTGCCAAGGGACTTTTGAGTAGAAAATAGAGTAGAATTGAACTGGTTCTTTGAGTGAGCAAGATGGGGAAGGGAAGAGAGTGTAGCCATTGCAAGGGTGATAGCCTGGGAAAAAACTTAAGAGGGGGAGAAATTGAAAGTCATTGAGAGGATGAAGAACAGGATTAGGAGATATAAGCAGAGGAAAGGATGGAAGGATCAAAAATTGTGATCAGATAAAGGCATTTCAGAATTCATGAACATGAATGTGGAAGACTTACGGGTGATTGCAAGAGTAAGGATAGGACCACCTCTCTGTATAACTGAGGTGGGATGGAGAAGTATGTCATAGGAATTGAGTAAATTAAGGAAAGGGGGAGTATATCCATCTGTCCATCTATCTGTTGGTCTACCTCTCTGTCTATATCTGTCTGTCCATCTTTGTATCCTTCTTTCTATTCTGTCTGTCTTCTGTCTAGATGTCTGTCTGTCTATCTACCTATCCATTTAAGTCCCATAGTGTGAGGTCAGGAGTTGGAGAGGAGAGAAAGACTGGGGTAGTTACTGAACTCATTGAAGAAAGTAGGGGCAGGGGAATGGGACAAGGAATATTCTTACTCCCCTGACAACCAGTGAGTTGGGAGGGGCAAATTAAATGTAGAATTACAAGTGCTAGAAAGGTTGACCAGTAGTACCATGTCATCAGGAGGGAGTAAGGTCTCAGCTAATGCAAGAAAATAGAAGCAGTGATAAAGGAAGAAAGATTAAGATGAAAGCAAGTTTTTTTACTTATGGAGCAAGCCTTCCAGAGAGCACAGTGGAGGGGTGGGTAGATCTGGGCAGGAGAGGAGCCTCTTGAAAGAGATGCAGGATAAAACTCAAAAGCTTATGGAAGTGAAGGTTGAAAACTAAAAATAAATAAATAAATTTTTAAAAAATATGTAATTGGGGAAAAAATAAACCTTTTGTATAAAAATTTTTTAAAAGCACATAAAAAAATAAAATCCTGTCAAAAAAGAAATAAATTTTTACTTAATTCAGCAGACAACAATATATTTATAATGCATGATCCCTGGGGAAGAAAGGCAAAATAACAATAAAAAGTAACTAAAGTTGATAAAAAAAAATGGTTGGTAAAAAAAAATAGAGATATGCAGGAAAGGGGAGTGGGCAGTACAGGTTTTACACAGTGAATTTTTAAAAATGAATTGAGGCTGAACTGAATACTAGTTTGGAGGTTAGCCTGAGGGTTGAGTTTAGCCTTGAGGTTAGAGGTCAAGCTGGATTGAGTTTGACTGAGGCTAAGATAGTTAAAGGTTAGGTTGAGGGCAGGACATATTGAGATAAAAATAAGGCTTGTTATATACAGGTGGGTCAGCACCTTTTACTTCGGTGGAAAGAATGAGTATAGCAGTCCAAATTTCATCAGGAAGATTGTAGGGAAGTGGAGTTTTCATACATGTACATACGTACACATACATACATATATCCATATGTATATATGTGTATATGTTACATAACATATGTTATATATCATATATTATATAACATGTATGTCTGTGTGTGTGTGTGTGTGTGTGTGTGTGTGTGTGTGTGTGTGTGTATGTATGTATGTATACTTGCTTCCAGAGACAAGAAACATTGCAACCTGGTAAGCTAAAAAGTCTTTGTCATCTCCTCTGCATAGGAGAGACTTCTCTGTTGGAATGGGGAGAGGCTGGCTTGTCGAGAGGCAGGGGGTGGGATTCAGTGACCTCTGGATGGTCCTGCTGGCTTAAGGGAATCTGTTTGTCTATGGAAAGAGCCAGACAGGGAGGAGGAGGCCACGTCCACAGCTCAGTTGTCCTACTTGTATTCTTTTGGAGCTCTAACCGTACAGAGCTTCCTGGTACCTGGAGAGGATGGTAGGAATCCTCATTGCTGATGCCCACAACAACCCAAAGGCCACTGGAGTCTCAAGGCTCCTACAGCCCTTTGCTCAAGATGTGGCTGGGGCTGGCAGATCATTAAATGCATTGGTGGTAACTATTGTAAATAGCAGATCAATAGTTAGATCACTTTGGCTGTTCATTACTTCATTATTTGTGGGTCCTCTGCACAGAGTGAGTATCAATATCCAGACGGCTGGCCAGTTAATTACTGTATTGAAGCAAGTTTCCCTCTGATTCTCAGCTCAGCTCCAGGAGGCTGTAGCAGAGGGAAGAAATAGGGGAATCTGAGATAGGGCTTAACATTGTCTAGGCAGGTCCCCATCCTCTCTGTCTCCTGGTCACACTGAGTGCCAGGGTCTCCTTGACTTCAAATAACTCCAGAGGAAACCTGGAGGGTCTGCCAGGTCTAAACAAATTGAATAGCCATGACTCACCCTTATCATCTTCCCACCATCCTATAGAGTATCCCCTTCCTTAACCCCACCCCAAGTTTTGGCCTGGAGATTATTACAATCTAGGCAATGGGACTCCTTGATCCTTACCTTCTTTTCTGTGAGGGATCTCACTGTTCTCTTTCTTGATTCCCTTTCCCTTCAGTGGGAGAGGAGGGAGGAGAAGGCACCTCTACAGTGGAGAGAGGTTTCTGGGAAACTGTAGAGTATAGGGACAGAGAGTCTCTTGGAGCATCTGATCCATTTTTCTTTTTCACTTGTCCCGCCCTCTGTCCCCTGCCAGGTGAGAAGCCCTTTGAGTGTAAGCTCTGTCACCAGCGTTCCCGGGACTACTCCGCCATGATCAAACACCTGAGAACACACAATGGCGCCTCCCCCTACCAATGTACCATCTGCACCGAGTACTGCCCCAGCCTCTCGTCCATGCAGAAGCACATGAAGGGCCACAAGCCTGAGGAGATCCCACCTGACTGGAGGATCGAGAAGACTTACCTCTATTTGTGTTACGTGTGAAAGGCACTCCAGGGGAGTAGGAAGAGGAGGAAGTGGAAGAAGTGAGAGAGAGATGGAATCACTGAAGGACTGCACACACACACACATATACACACGCGCGCGCGCACACACACACACACACACACACACACACACACACACACACGAGAAAAGAAGAAAAAGAGGGCTGGATTGATAACTCTTGTTTGACCTTGGTATCTATACAAGATTCTCTCTCAAGGCTCGTGCCATGGGGCTGGGTGCCTCAGGTCACAGGTGTGGCCCACTCTGGGACAGCCTAAGTGATTTTCATTTGGGGGGTTTGTTTTATTCTGCTTTGATGGTGTTCTTGTATTCTTCCCTGTCATCCTTGCCTTGAATGCTTCTTCCTCTGACCAGGAGCCAAGTTTAGGGAAGTGGGGGTAGGGTACATCTGGCCCAGAGCTAGGCAGGCTCATTGATCTCCACACAACTGCTGCCTGACTCTCCTCAGACAGAGGTTGAGGGGTGGGGCACTACAAATCTGGAGCTGGGGATAAGGAGATTGGATGGTAGGGTAGATGGAGTTTGTCATCTGCTATAGAATAACAGTGCTAGCTGGCTAGGTCCTGCCCCCTTCCTCCCACCATGCACGCGCACACACGCCCACATACACACACACACACACACACACACACACACACACACACAAAATCTTGGCTACTTTCTTCTCTCCTTTCCTATATCTAGTAGTCCTCTGTGATATGAAGCTGTCTTATACCTTCCCACCCACACTGCCTTCCCTAGGTTCCAGTACCCAAAGTCTCTAGACACCCCCTTATATACTGAGCCTTCCAGGGGTGAAACGTCACCCTCTCTACCCAACTCTTCTTTAGGAACAACTGTCTCTGATGCATGGCTCAGCCTCTCCCCACCCACTTTGCCATGCTGCTATTCTTAATAGCAAGAAACAGGACAACAGCCCACCCTCACTTAGCCCCACTAGGGGCAGGACTGCCCCTAGAAATTGAAAAAAAGAAACATGAAAACACACACACACACACACACACACACACACACACACACATACATACAGACACAGTCCCCACAAATCCCACAGTCAATTTTTATTGGGGAAGGTTACACTCAACTCAGTTCAAGAACAAATATTTATTAAGCACCTACTATGTGCATGACAGGTGCCAGGTATAACAAAGATTAAAAAAAAAGAACAATCCCTGTCTTCTAGGAGCTTATAATCTATACAGAAATGGGTTGTTTCCTAAGGGAAATACTTAGAGGACATCCACATTCCACCCCCAAGCCTAGTGTGCCTCCGTATCTGGAGGAGGAAGAAGGTGGGTGGGTTGTGTGGTCTCTTAGAGTGTGCAGGAAGGCAGAGAAACAGCTCCCCAGTCAGCGGTAGGATCGGTTCCCAAGGGCCTCCAGGAAGGATAGTGCTGGGGTACCTAAGCCCTGGGCCTCATCTTTCTCTAACCCAGGCCTTCTGCCCCCACTTGCTGCACCCCTGAATCTGCCAAGGATTGGAAGAGGAGGAGGAGGCGGCTTTTTACTCTCGTTGCATTTTGCTTCTTTTCATGACCCCCCTTCCAATTCTCTTTCTCTCTGCGTTTAGCACATTGTACTTGAATTACCTCAGTTTTTTTGTGACCTCATGAGCTTTTCCCCCATGTATGTGTGGATTTGTTTTGATTGTTACTGGGTTGTGTTTTTTTTTAAGGGAAGGGGTTGGTCTTTTTCTTGTGTAAAGTTGTAATTGTTTTCACAAACTTTGGTTGTGATCTTCCATCCCCATAGCACCCACTACTTATCCCCTGCCCGCCTTCCCTCCACCCCCAGCCCCTGGAGGGGCCAAGGGATGGCAGTGCTCAGGATGGGAGAGTAAAGTCTTTTTAGTGCAGGGGAAAGTGGGAGGACTCTGCTGGGAGTCCCCAGGGGCTTAAAATAGTCACCTACCAGCCTGGCCTTTGTGAGTATGGCAGAGCTGCCCAGTAGTGAAACCGGGCTGTTTGCAAGGTCCATCCATTAAAGCGGGCCTCAAACTCCTTTAAAAAAGCTGACCTTTCCCACATTTCTAGTCATTCAGGCTTCCAGGTCTGGATTATTTGGATTACTGTAGCTCTGGCCCCTGGTGTGCATTATCATTACCAAAACTGGTATTTTTTTTCCTAGGCCAGTCTGGTGAGAAACTAAGATTTTGTTGTTTGGGGGGTTTTATTTTGTCTGTTTTGGTTTTGGTCGGGGGAGGGATTTTTTTTTCTGAAAGCTACCTCTTACGTTCGTTTGTCCAGTTCTTTCTGTTCTTTTTCCCGTCTTCCCCATCCCATCGTTCTGCTCCCTTCCCCCAATTTTGAAAGCACATTGGCAATATTTGTGTTTGCTTTGGGATGGGCTGCTGTTTCATCTCAGGCTTTATTTGCAATGATTGTGTGTGTGTGTGTGTATGTGTGTGTGTGTGTGTGTGTGTCTGTGTGTCTGTGTCTTTCTCTGGGAAAGTTGTGGCTGCATTTTAGCTATGTTTTAAAAAGTGATTTTTAAGGAAGCTGTATGTGACGGGGAGGATCATGAAGGAGAAAGGGAAGTTGGAGGGATGGGGTGCTGCTGTGACACCCCTCCATCCCCCTGCCTTTATGCTTCCTAACCACCCCATTCAACCTCGTCCACCAAATCTGAAGGCCTTAAAACTAGGGGGACAGGATTTGGAGGGTGGGGAGGAGTAATCACGAGACAAATAAGACCAGTCAGTGGTCAGGGGCAGGGGGTGAAGGTCAAGGGAGGATGCTATTTTGCAGTTAGCATGAAGACTTAGTGCTTTGGAAAGGAAAAAAAGAAGTTAAACTTGAAATATGTGACTAGGACAGTTGTTTTGTTTATAATGTGAAAAGAGAGTGGTATTATTTTGGGGAGGGGCAGATAGTAGAAAATTCATTATGCACTAAAGGTTCCTCACCCTGGGTCCCTTCCCTCTCCCGGGGAAGGAGGAAGCACTAAGTGGCCACCTGGTCCTACAAGTCCCAGAAACAAGGATTTTAAAGAAAGAGAACACAGTTTTATGGGGAAATAATCAAACTATTCCATAGGATTAGCAACTTTCCTCCTCTCCCCCACCCCCAATATCTCTAGACCCTCCCCATCTAATCTGGGTCACCCCTTCCCACTTCATAAAAGCTGAGAGGGTTGAGCTGATATTTACAAAGTGTAATATTTTTGTAATATTTGTTAATTCCTTTGTCAGTTCTCACAGAACCCTGCCCTTTTCTTTTGCAATGTGAATGGGGAAAAAGAAAAAAAAACAAAAACAAAATGAAAGTGTGTGCGCGCGCTGCTGAATGTGGGTGCTTTTTGTGTGTGCAGTTGTGTCTTGAAATCATGCAGTATTGTAGTAATCTGGTGTTACAGAATTGGATGGTACTAAATCAGAGCCAGCTGCCTCCCGGATGCCCCTAGGGCTCTGCAGATTCAGGGGCTTAGCCAGAAAGGGGTCAGGATGAGTTATGGTGTTTCACAAACATGTTTGCATAGGACTGGCACTGTATTCGCCACCCTGTGGAGGCCCAGCCACTCAAAACTGGAGTTGGGAGGACAGTGAAACCTACTTTTTCCTACCCCCCCCATTGTCTCCCATTATCCCCCAACCTAAAAAGAGAGATCTGAATTTTCCACGGCCTGGTTAGCTTTGGGGGTAGAATGTAGGATAAGCAGTGAGAAAACGTTTTGAACTTTCTGCCTTTGTAGAATAGGACATACAAGCCTGGGCCTTTGAATTTCGTAGGAATGGAGGAGGATTTGGGACTGGGAGGGTGAAGAGAGACTTCTCTCTTTCTTTCCAGTTGGGTCTCAGAGTTTTGTTTTCCTTTTTCCCAACTAGAGTTCTCTCTCCTCCTCTCTCCTCCTCTCTCCTCCTCTCCTCTCCTCTCTTCTCCTCTCTTCTCCCCTCTCTCTCCTCTCCCTCTTTCTTCCCTTTCCTTCTCTCTCTCTCTCTCTCTCTCTCTCTCTCTCTCTCTCTCTCTCTCTCTCTCTCTCTCTCTCTCTCTCTCTCTCTCTCTCTCTCTCTCCTCCCTCCCTCCCTCCCTCTCTCTCCCTTTCCTCTCACTCTCCCCTCCCCAGCCCCTTTCTCCCCTCAACTCCCTTCAGCTTTGCTACTGCTAATAGCCAGCCCCTGCTGGCTACTGCCTTACACCTTCGTAGTGAAACTCTTCCAGATGGAAAGCCAGAAAAGTTCTGAGCGTTTTCTCTTGCCTCACAGATTGTGATTCTCTTGGTCCTCCTAGGTTACTTGTGGCATTCCCCTCACATTCATGTGCTGCCTTTCCTGTTTGCTCCCTCAATCATTTGAAGCATTAATATCCTATGTACATATAGGATAGACATATATAAAATCTATCTATCTATATATATGTATATATAGAGAGATCTATCTATATATATGGAGAGAGATATAAACAAGTCAAACCCCTCCCGCTTAGTAGTTGCCAAGGATGTGGTGGTTTTAAAAAATTTTTTTAAAAGGTGGGAAAAAAGTTGTTGGGTAACCAGGGGGCACTGTGGACTCCCTGATTTCAGTACAATCCAAGGATGTAACATAGGCTTGTTTAATCTTTGTGCCTGAACAGTTGTTTTTTTTTAATGTTTAGAAGAAAAGGAAAAAAAAAACTGCTGCAATTCCTCACAAGTGTATGGTACCTTTCTAGAATCCATTGATTGGTACAACCAGCTGCAGGGATGTCCCAGGAGAGGGGAGGAGGACCACGGGCTCGCTCCCTCTTTGGGGAGTGAGAGGTGGCCTTCGTTGAGCTCCATCCTTGGGAAGATTGGAACCATGTTCTGAAGCCCTGATGTAGGAGGATCCAAAGGAACCAGGATGTGAGTGATCTGGGACAAAAAAACAATAATAATAATAATTTAAAAAAGACCAAACTGTGCCCCAGAGGGAAAAGGTGTCCGATCAGTTGGGAATGTTGGGGTCTGTTTTCCCTGATCCATTTTGTCTCCCCACTTCCCTAGTTCTTCCTCCTTTCCTTCCTCCCTCCTGGACCTTCTACTGCCCTGAAGCCTCCAGGCACAGGGTGCCCAGGGGCAGAATGGAGGCATTTATCTGGATATTTCAGGAAAACAAC